GCTAGTGAGTAAGTATAGACCACAGGATCGTCATCGTTGAACAAAGAAGAGTAGCACTTTGGTTACAGTAAATTCTACCTAGTTTTTTCTGAGAGCAACTCTAAGGTCTGCCGAGTGGCTGGAAATGTTCTCCTGTTCATTCTGCATCTAATCATGTATGTGTCGATCGAATTCAAGCAGGGGCCGATTCCATTAAATAATCGCCCCCGTCCTTTAGATGACATTGAAAACATCATAATGTATACTTACAGTACAATTGGTATTATTTGCACGAATTTTCTGGTGCCTGTCCATTGTACCCCGTCGTCGATTTGTTCCCAAAATGTAAATCGTCGAGCTAAACCTTGATCACTTGTTTCCCATGGTGCACCTTTGACAATGTGAAAAAGATAGAAACTACACTAAAAAAAACAACAAATAAAATAATAATCGTGTGTATTATATGAAAAAAAATTTTTACGTACAATATTATGTATAGATGTTGTTAAAGTCCATGCTATTGGTGTTGTGATATATGGAATACTCAATAGGATAAAATGAAGTACAAATATCAAAATAACATACGTTAACCAAACACCTCTACTATTTAACCAACTACTGTTCGGATTTCTTTCTCCTTGAGCTATGCCAACATTCATGTCCTACAAAGGAACAATATAAAAGATGCATCGTTTTTTTACACATAAATCTTATATAACATAATCATTCGTACTTATTTACCACTGAAGTAATTGAACATCCATAGATAATAATTAAAATTTTATAGAAATGATTAACTTTTATATTATCTAAAATATTTTTAAGAATATATGATTAAATTTTTTAACAAATGTTTCTTTAAGTCTAGTTCTTAAACAATGACCAAAAAAAAGAATTCAACGCAAGAAATTCTGATTTATTTTAAATAAAATACATCTACCAATGATAATTCCTAAAATATGTCTATTTTATTACTGACGTTAATAAATATGATTGAATACATATGTCTTTTTTCCCTTGTTACCGATTATACGTAAAATGATTTAAAATAGAATAGAAATAGAAAAATATATCACAACTATATATTACCCGCATGTATATGTGTACTATAACTGTCCGTCCTATTCTTTTTCTTTCTTTCGTTCTTTCGTTTTTTTGTGAAACTATCAATAAATATATGAAAATGAAAAATACCTTTTTTTTCTACTCAACTAATCATTCTAGTTTTTCTTTACTCATTAAGATTTGAACAAAAGGGTAAGTCGACTATAATAATGTATCAGTGTGGTCAAAAAAATAGAGATGCTATAACACTGAGACATGATAATTTATCGAACGTAACAGCGGCTGAAAATTTCAAATACTATTGGCACGCAGGTTTATCAAAAATTAAATAAGTAAAAAAGTATTTTAAGTTTATTGATCATAAAAAAAAGGTTTCAGATCATATTCAATCCAGTAAATATGATTTTTTTAATTCTACTTTCCTTCTCACATTTGTATAAAGAAGGTAACGTTCGTCATAGCTAACATTTGTTGCTTGTCATCACATACAATAACTAGTAAAGCTTTAAACTAAATAGACTGCTTACAGCAGTATTTAGCTACTTCATTCAGATAAGACTTTGAGATCAAATAGTATAGTTTTGTTTTTAAAATTTAAAATTTAAACATGTGTAAACCTTTTAATCCTCTAACATTGTTTCAAACGAATCATATGGAGTCACAGAATAAATCAAGCATAATACCAAATATTTTAAATACTAATCTTACAATTTTAATTCTGCAAGAGTAAGTTATAATCGTAAAATAGACTTGAAAATGAGATTTAGTCCTTTGTGTTTCTCAATAGTTCATTTCTTTTCATAAAGTAGACTATTAAAAGAAAAAGATACAGTATACAGGCAAACAACTATAATGTATTTAAGGAAAATAAATCTGACAAGGAAACGTATTTGAGAGTGTGTGTCCATCAAGAATGAATTTGAATGTATTAAAGCAGTTTGTTTGGTTTTTATTGATTAACAATCTGAAAACCGTAACTCCTAACATCAATACCGTAAAAAGTTATGATCCTTAAATATCTGACACTTCAATCAAAAAAGACTTTTTGTATCATAATCTTTTTAGTAAAATGACCGAGCATAGGTGAGAGATATGTCAAGAAGTAGTACTACTCACTCTATAGTTTACTGTAAATCACGTTTCTTTTTTTGTCAAGTGTGAATCGTTGAGTGTTTACTGAACGGAAGGCGTTCTCTTATCATGGACTGCGCTATCCAAAAGCAATTATCATATTGTATTGCGTTCTTCAGACAATTGTTGAACATTCGGACGAATGGTTTTCACTCACTATGTGAGAATGATACATCCAAAATTCGATATGTGAAGAGTCACACGTTAACAACAGTAAGGAATTGCTATCATCTAGTATGAAAGGAAGAACACAATTCACAAGAACAAGTTCGTAGAACAATATGGGACAAAACGGCAACCGATCAACCAATTTATCTTAGATGAATTTGTTCGAACTGGAGAAAAATATCTACTGGTTGATGGTAGTGATCGGCAAAGAACGACTATTAGAAGAGCGAAAGAAATTAATTTGAGTGGATTTGATGCTTCTTCGTCTGGGTATTGAGTTTTAAACGTCCGAATCATACAAAATCAGGGAAAACTAGGAAGCTAATAGTTAAAAGTCATATCGAGGAAATAAATAAAATAGTTAAAATTAGAATGGACCAAAACGTACTCAACTATGAAATCGTCTATCCGTACTTTATCGAAAGGACTGAAATCCACATCGAAACGTGCCAAATAAAAAATGCAGTCATCTATTCTTATATAAGAATGTCAATGCTACGTATGGCGGGGAAAATTGTTGGTCCATTATTTGTCTGCTTGCAAGAGTCTACTGGAAAACTCGGATCTTGTGCCTCACAGATAAGGTACAAGGCCCGAAACATTTATCACACATGCAACAAATTGGTAATTAACCCAAAAAATATAACAATATCGGACGAAAAACGTTTCGAAACTTAATAATAAGTGTTTTGTTGCTACTCCATGAATGACCGTATCAAATCGATTTGGAGAATTGCAAGAATATATTCAAAGGCAAAACAACATGTGGACGGCTACAAATAACATCAGATATGACAGACGACATTCAGTCGTGTGATCATTACTTTTTATGTTAATGGAAATATCTTTGTCAGAAATATTTCGATTGTATCAACAGGTGATGGATTTAAGATCTAGATATACTGTTCTGAAGATGCATTCACTCATGCATAATCAATTGTCATCGAAGCACTTTTATTAATGATTAAATATTCTGGATGTGTTAGTGGCTACAATGATCAAAATCCAGGATTTGACAGCGTTTCGATGATAATTATTCTATTGGCGGCTACTGAAATGCGACACTTATACCATGCGACTGATACTCGAAAGTTTGTTTTCAACAGTTGTTTTTTTTTGCAGAAGGCCATAAACATCTGCAATCTTAGTTTCGCAAACTAACGTTTTTTCTTCACCTCGATATTGTGTGTTTTTAATAAATTTTTAAGATAATGGATCATAAGTTTTGACGATGTTGATGTTAGACGCTATATGATTATCAGACTTTTAATTAGGATGGAAACCGAATGAAATGTAATACGTCCGGATTTATTCTTGATGGATATACTCAAATATGTTAAAAATTACTAAAAAAGCTTTGTTGGTTGCATGTGAATGTAAACAATACTCACTGATAGAATATGTGGAAAATACCACAGATTCTGAAATTAGTTCACAACACCCATTGGTGATAAAAGAAAACAGATTAGTGTACATCTCCGCTAAAGCCCAAAATAAAAACAGAAAGTCTTCTAATCACTCGAAAACAATGGATAGAAAAAAGTCAATTTCGAGCAACAATAAACACTAAAAGGAAAAAAATCACAGTAAGGTAAATTAAACCATAAAAACGTAGTCTTCTTACCGATTCGTACAAGAAAAAGACATTAAATGATTGATACTTAAGTTCGAAACATTTTTGATCGATTGTCACCATTCATACTGTCGTATAATGGGATTAATTCTACATAACGTTGACCCATATATTTTTTATGAAATGTCATTGCTTCTTCAGCTTCTTCTCTTGATCCAAATTCAGCGAAACACAATCCGGTTTGTTTGCCGCGATTCTTCTCAATTTCAACTCGGATGGGCGTTACAGGTCTGAAAAACTACATACACAAGATTTATTTATTAAGAAAAATCTAGTTAGAAGATTTTTACCTCATAAATATCTTTTTCTACTGCATCGAACGGAACTCCTCTCATTTTAACAGTATAAGACGTTGACATTGTTCCTAAATAGATCCGTTAAAATATTGTAAACTGAATTTAGTTTTTAGAATGATAATCTTACGTTTCGATGCCATTGGATTTCCCATATAATTCATATTCATGTTATTATTATTTGCATGAAAATTGTACGCATGTTGTTGCATTAGAGGAAGACCCTTTCTCATAGAACTAAAATTTCCTTGAGAGCCAGGATCCATCATGTAATCTTTTTGTACACCGTTACTCCTCATTGTTTGATCTTGACCATTTTGTCGATTCACGAAATTTTGTGTATCGTTCTATTCGAGTAAGAAAAGTTCTTAATTTTTGATGGACATTATTTTCAACAATTCTTTCTTACCATAATTGATTGACGCGCTTCAGCATAACTACTTTTGAAAACTTCGATATATCTATAGCAAAACATAAAAATAAGAAGTACAAGTTGGAAATAGTTTAACAATAGTATGAAATTTGGACTTTGACGTAGTTAACCTATAACTGCCAATGACAACAATGGATTTATTAATCTGTCTGATATGAAGAATGACATTTATTTTGCAGCTTAACAGTTAAATCAGCGGAACTGGAAATAAGGTAATAAATTAAATCAGTCGAAACAAAGTTAGCTAAACACTGCGAAAGAAAGATTTTGCGATGCTTTAATGGATTAAATATATTTAAACCAGGAGATGAGTAGACATCGGTTTCTAATAAACTGAGAAATTTCTCTGATTTTTCAAAGCGGATGTTAGTGAGGAAGAATATTCGAAAATCAGGTAAAAGAGTTTTATCTTGTTAAGAGGCTAAAGTGTAGAAATGCCTATGCTAACTCAGTTATCGAAAAGAACAATATGATTTATCCTATTGTTTAATTCATCTTATTGAACAGATGGGATACAATCCACAAAAATACGATCTATCTCTAAAAAGTTTCCTCTACCTGTGCCCCAGATGATTACGATTGCAATCAATTCCCCTTTGTGCTTGATCCATACTTTTAAAGCAAACGAATGCTTCTCCTGCTGGTTTGGATGAAGATATATGAATTCCATTGTCAGCGATTTGCAACCCTACAGAAGCCAACCAAATCACAAACAGAATGAAATAACCTTTTCTAAAAGATCTAAACAGTAGATATCTATTGCTGATTTAACTCGGATAGAAAAAATAATCTAAGAAAACAAAAGAGTAGGATATTCCGAAATTTCAATCTATTTGATCGCCTCCAGTGAAAGAAATAGCTAAAATTCAAGTACAAATCGCTTAAATTTCTATAAAAACGATCCTTTTTGTATCAGAAAAATGCAAAAACGTATATTAAATAGCACATACCATTGAAGAAGCGAATCAGATCTTCTTTGCTTGTGTTGTACGGTACTAAAATTGAGACAACAAGAGAGGCAGTGAATTTACTCTACAGAAAATCTCCACTTACATCCACGTAAACGACAAACAGGTTCATTCCATATTTGTTCTGTTGAACTTGTTTTACCTATTGCAGTATTCATTTCGTCAGGCGTGGATTCAAATACTAGAAAAATATAAACAATGACTGATGTAATTATCATTATTCTTCATTTGTCTACATTCAATATATCTCGATCCCAATGACTTTTTATCGAACGTTTTAGCAATTTCCAAATCATCTACTGTTTGTAATTCAACAAATGCCTCTCCTGATGCTCGTCCCCTTTTGTTTGTTACAAAATAAGTTCGGTGAACGTTGCATCCTAAAAATCACGAAGCAACAAAAGTAAGTTTTGACGACTGTACTGGTTCTATGTAACAAACCGAGAAGAAAATTTTGAATGTCACTCTGAGAAGTACTCCACGGCAAACCGCGTAAACGAACAATATATCGGCTAGTATAGGGACCATCTAACGCATTTGGATTCATCACTAGAGTAAAATTCACATACAATCTGAAAAGAAACTTGGCGTTATAATTGTCTAAAGTTTGCATAGTTTTCGTTCACATCTAGCATAAAGAATTTGCAGTTGTCAGCCATCCGCCATAGTACCCAAGTTAGGTACCCTGCTACAAGAATGCCATAGGTGCTTACAAGTAAAATATTACTTAGCGGGTATCTAAACGGCCATTTTAGTGATTATTTGAAAGATAAAAACGCACATCATTCCTGTAAACATATGTTTTTTCTTTTATATATGTCTGGATACAAAACAAAATGGTGAACGAAAAGAAACTGGAGCCTATGCTGCGTGTAGCGCAAGTAATTGGGTGCCTCCCAAGTAATATTTACTTGAAAAAAACTCAAGCACCTATGACATTCGTATAGCAGGGTATCCGCGTAGACATCTAAGAAAAATGAGGCGTCGTCGAAATGAGGCGTACATCCACCAGGGTGTCAGTTCACCACCCAGAGAGCATTGCCGATTTTGTAATATAACAATAACGCAAAGAAAGAAAACCACCTCCAAAGAATAAAAAATAAAAAGGATTGCGTTTTCAGTAGTTTCTTTGTCTGTTTATTTACTATCGCCTGCGTGCACGTGTACATGAGTTGTGATGATGTCTAGAGTTCTGTATGGATATCTTTCTTCTGTGGACATGTCTATTTAATACATATTTCTAATAATGATTCGTACATTGGTCAAGGTAACGTAACCTCCGTCCAAATTTTACATCCAAAAGAAGTGTCAAAATGATTTAGCATCACTTTCCCTAATATCAAAGTGAAGTTTGATTAACCTTGCAAAGAAAATGTAAGCTTTTATATTAAATTATGTTCTGATGAAACATTGTCAATATCTAGTTATGTTCGAGTTAAAAAGTAACATTCAAACTTTAGCTTAACTGTTGTTTCTTTTCTGAAATATTAGACAATTTGATTGAATCGAACGAAACTTTGTTTTTTCGATTTTTTTGTATTTCTGTACCCAACTCGGTTTCTGTATAGATCAAATTCGGTATAAAACAGGCATCCAATGGAAACACTTTAAATAAAAAGCTTGTAGTTCAAGAAGCGAAAAGGCACCAACTATGTTTCAATGGTAGTTGTCTGTGGTGTATATCACCAAAATAACAGCTGATAATAATGACCAATAAGAGGATTGGTGAAAACTTGGCTAGAAAAATGCGTAAATGCACACCGCAAAAAAAGTAACGGTAAAAACATAAAAAGTCGCAGTAAAACCGTGGCATTATGAAAACTAATGTCACGTTTTAACTGTAACTTTATATATATTTTGTTAACGTTTTTCCTGTGGCAATGTCACATCCTAATGACATCTGAAAACGGATTTTCCGTGACATCACTTTTCATTAGTTAAAATAGACCAGTGGGGCGAAGGTAATGTCATATTTTTCGCGTTACATATCACTGTAAATTTGAAAAAAAGAAAAGTCGGCGGTTTTTCCACCTACTTTTCTCTGAATCATTGAGTAAGGTCCGTGAAGTATGTGATCGCAGGCTTTTCAACCCGGAAGCTGTCAGTGAGATCCGTGAAAATATGGATTAAAGTTCGTGAAAAATTACAGATCTGATTGACAACTTCCGGTTTGAAAAGCCCGTGATTATATACTTCACGGACCAAAAAAGTAAAAATTCACAGTAATACAACATAAAAATAAAAATACAAATAGAGACCTCTTGGGCGATCTTGGTGTCGACTAGAGTCAGTCTTGAACTTCCTTGGAGCAAAAGCGATAAAAACAACTGTTAACGAACAATTTTTCTTTAATTTCTTCAACGTAGTTCATAAAATAAGGAATACAGAACAACAACGATAAAGAAGAAAGTAAAAATCGTCGTTATTGATAACGGCTAATGACTTTTCATGACTAAATGTTTTTATCTAAAAAAAAGGAAAATGGCCGTTATGCAATTTATTAAGTAATGTGCACATACTTAATACACATACTAGTATTTGCTTAAAACTATCATAAACAGCTCGTTTGTCTGAGGGTCAGATAAACAGACAGTTGTACCTCTATGTGATAAAAGAGATTAAGCCAATAAGATTAATCATCATGGCAAAATTAGTCGTGATCAGAAAAAGGCGAATCATAAATTTGAAAAAACGAAGTGGTCTGTAAAGCGGTTTTCTTCATTTTCCAAGTGAAAAACGGAATGGAAAACGACTTCCACAAACTGGAAGATCGCTTTGCTTTCGCATGCACCAATAATTACAAACACTATCTAGCATCTGTGATGACGCTGAAAATCTGTGGCTTGAAATGGGAAAATGTGATATTGTGACGCTACAGAAAAAACGTGACTGCAAAAGCGTTGAAAAGAACGTTTTTTCCTGATGTCACGATAAAGTCATTCCATTCAGTGTTAAAGAAGTGGAAACCAACGGGAAACGTGTAACATTCCGAAAAAACAACATTTTTAATGTGGCTTTGCCACGAATTTTATGTGACTTTTTTTTTACTGTGATGGCCACAATGTAGAAAGGAAAATGTCTTGTGTCTAATAAGGCACGTAAATGTCTAAAGTCTTTTTCAACTATCTAAAAATAAGACGTTTATTGTCATACAGCTAGAATTTGTTCGTCACGCATCATTTTGCTTTTATGCTCATTTTTAAGGTGAAAAATAGTAGACATTGAAGAAGCGTCTGTGTGCAGGGGCACAACTAGGAATTTTAGACTATTGGGGGTGTTTCATAAAAATTCTTAAGTGCTCGACTTAACTGAGTCTAGACTTAGTTAAGTTGAGCACTTAAGAATTTTTATAAAACGCCCTTCTGGGCTATTCCAAATAGATTTAAAAAATCAATGGATCTAGATGAATCGAAGGCTTTCTGCTTCGACCGAAAATTCTTTCAACTGTTGCCATTTCTGCTACTAGTGTTTTCCCCGCTCCTTTTCGAGAGTGGACTTTGTATGTATGTATGTATGTTGAGTATTTATTCACGAAAAGTGACAGTCATCAAAGGTGCCCTACCTGTAATAACAATGACTCAAGCCAATTTGACAAAAGAAAACTAGAGTAATGGACAGAGATAGATCACGTAAACAAATATTCTCTCTAATCTTTTTTGTCCAAATATATCTCATGATTGAATCAACCATAAAAGAACGGACAAGACTTGAAATCGGCCTACTACACCAATGTGTTCAGAACTCATCGAAACCATCTTATTTGATGATTTCGACCCTTTAGAGAGCTTATGATTGGAAAGAACTGGCGAAAAAGAAACATTTCCATAAAACCATCTGAATCAGTATGATCGTAAAACGGATGTTCCTCTCTAACTATCCAGTATAATACACCATTCGATGGGTCTTGAAATTACAACATATGCTAACAGGAAATTTAACGGAATCTGACAGCGATCTTTCGTCAATTAAATACTTCATTGCTCTAATCTAATAGAAGTTGCATGTCGCTTTGCTTGAATAACTTCTACGAAAGATATATAGAGTACGGCTTTTAAAGGTTTTGTTTGTTTTGCGCTGACCTCTAAACGGCTGATTTCACTGCACAATGTCTTGAAATTATTTATTTCTTATTATACGTTGGTGGAAAAAAGTACAGTCAGGACTTATAAAAAAACTCGTTGGGTGAAACACTCAAACAAATTTTCCGTAGTTGTGTCACTGCTTGTATATATTGTTCGCTAAAAACTAGTATGTATGTTTGTTATTTTTATGACTGTTTTTCAAGTTTTCATTGTTCTCGTGGTTTTCCCGTCTCCTGTTTTTGATTGACCATCGAGAAATCATTTTTTTAGCTAGTAGCTCTCGAGATAGAGATTACTTAAACCCTACATCTTGCGTAGATGAGTTTTCAGTTATTTTCGTTTTCTGTTTAGGTAGCCGAAAGTAGATTCATATTTTTTGTTAGGCTAAAAGGTCAATTTTAATCTTTTCCAAAAATTTGAGTAAGCGCGTATGTCTCCCTGAGAAAATGCTGTCACCTTCTGAAACGTTTGAGATTGGATGGACGTCATAATTCTATATATATACATCTAATTTTTAAGCATATATTGAGACGGCGACTTTGTGCTGATCAGGGTTCCCGGTTAGGGGGGCAGCTCTATCTGAAAACTTTTTTGGAATTTCTGGCAAAATTTTTGACGTTTTTCTACCAGCAACTTTCTGCCAAAAATTTCGAAAACTTTTTCCCCAGCCACTTTCTGCGAAGCAAAATTTTTAGCCCCTCCCATCTCTAAGCTGGTCCCCCCTGATCGAGAATCCTGATTCGGATCTCTAAATGTTGAGACGACTAGCGATTGGCATCAGGTCATCGAGTTTTTGATAACGTTTGGCTTCTATATTCTCACTTAATTGAGAGCAGGTTACAGACAATTATCGCGTAATCTTGAGGACTATGCGCGTGCTAATATAAGAGCTATACCCTAGTGAAAGTACTCATACGATGAGTACGACTTTACTCATAATTCGTCCATGAGTACTCATATTGGTACTACTAACAATTTCTGAGTATTGTTACTCAGTGAGTACTCAGTTACTCA